TTCTTTTTTTCTCTCATCACACATTCAAGCCCCCAGTGTTCATGTATCATTTCAATCTCAAGTCTTCACTTCCTTCTTACACATTACATTTCAGCATAGCAGTTTAGTGTCAGATTTTCAGCATAAAGCATTCCCACTAGCAATTTCTTCAGGAATTGCATTCTCTAGTTTGAATTGATCTTGTGGGCACACATTGGTAACAGACCCACGTTTACTGGAAGCCGCTAATTTATTTACCTTAAGTTTGTTTTTCACTCCCTGTAGCTCCACACTCTGCCCTCTAGTGGTTATAAATGATTCACTGCATATTAAATGTCACAACAACAGTGTTGTTGTTTTACTTTGAGAAACAAATGTCCTCTCCTTTCAACACATAACATCCCCCAGCTGGTCAAGGATTAGAACTCCTTTCCTGTTTTTCCCAACTCAAGGTTGCTAGTTAAGCAGAGTTTAAGCAAACAAAGTCTCACAGCACAACTGCAAGAAATCTGTTATGGCAGAATTTAACCCCTAATAATGTGTGGCAGAGATCTTAGTGTGGGAGTAGTAAAGCTTTGTGGGAGGAAGCAGTGCAGATGAGCAGCAATTTATATTATTGACTTAAGACATTTGATGTAAATTACACAAAAGTGCATTTCCTCTCACTGACTTGCATCTTTCCCCATTTTCTCGAAATGTAGGGGGGAAATTGCATATAATAACTTTCCTTTTACTGTTTATTTGGTTTAAAGCATCCCTCAATTGACAGGAGCAGATTCCTTTAAGTATTCAGAGTATTTAGTCTTAACATTTGGTATTTACTTGTCCAGAGAAATAGATGTATAGAACAATTCTCTATACTCCTGCTATGATTTGTTGTTGTTACTTTACCCTCAGTCTTCTTTCCATATTGCAATTATTTATGTGTGCTCAGTAGCTTTTTGTTTTCCTCGTCTACATAGAAACTGGCCCCGGGCATAAACACTTTAATATGAATTGTGCTTCATTATTCTTTTTTACTTGTTATTCCAAATATAATCACCAAGGAAAGCTTTGTGGTTCTCACAGAAATGACTCACAATTTAAGTATTACTATCATTTAGTTACTATCTTTCTGACATTATTCGTGTAACACAACTTTTAAAATCTGATTCGTACTTTAGAGATATTAAACATTGTTCAGACCTTGGTAAAGAGGCCTTCTTCAGATTTTAGAGTGTGTGATGTCACAGCTAGAGTGGAGGACAGATTTAATGTTGCCTTCATATTTTCTTTTAAACCTGCCATAATTCCCAAACCCTACATTCCTGAGACATAATTGTTCATGACAAACGTAGGAAAACATCTCGTAGATTGAACAATTTAAATAAATTAAGCAAAATAATTAAACAAAATGCCTCTTGAGGGCATGAAGTGACAAAAACGTTCAACATGTCTCCATTAAACCCCATTGTAAGTTCAGCCTCATCTTTCCCCACCACTGCAGCCACACACCTTTAGTTAATCTGCCAAAAAGGCCACATTATTAACCCGAAAGTACACAAAAACTACACTTCAGATGCTCAAGTTTCTTGACATGCTTCACGCTTTGAAATTTCACCGATATCTGTTACGGTTCTTCAACAAAATGTTCACATGTAAGAGGTTTATCTCTCATTCAGAACAATGAAAATGCTCTCCTCTCTGATTACTGCACATCACCATGGAAACCTTTGATCTCTGGACACATTGTTAGCTCAAATATAAACACCTGTGTCATGGAACACGATGATGTCATAACTCCAACTGACATGCTCAGAGCAGCAGATTACAGATAATGGTTAACACTAGGGATGTAACGATATACCGAATATCGCGGTATCGCGGTAAATAAACGTCCCAATACCGTCGTGAGACTGACAAAATCTACCGCGGTTTTTTTTTTTTTACGTTTTTGTTTTAAACCTTTATTTAACCAGATGGTCCCATTGAGATCATCGATCTCTTTTTCAAGAGATACCTGTCCAACATGGCAGCAAGTAGGTTACAACATAAACATAAAACAACAGAACACAAAAGGACATCGTATTTACAGGGCTACATTTACACACCTAGAGATATTGACAAGTACCAACAGTATATTTATATCTCGCCCTGTCAATAAGCCTCACCTTCTTGGCAAAAACTGTATTGTTTTTGAAGTGGTGGAGAGACAATGCACAGTTTGACCCACTGCTGTCACCCATGGCCAAAGCATATCTCTCCGTCCCCACTGAGGTGGCGTTAGACTTTTTCGCTGTCCGTCATTTTGACAGACAGGATCGTAAAATGTCCGTCATAATCCCTTATTACCCGTCGGGTCTGAACAGAGAGAGAGAGCACGCTCGTGAACTGTCAACGGGGGGGGGGGGGGGTGTTATGCCGTGTGTGCATGCACCTCGCGGGAGCGCACACAGCGTAAAGCAAAACCTCCCAGACATGTGTTGATCTGTACGGTTTGGAAACTATATAATTTCCTTTTGGAGGGCATGCATAACACGGCATAACACCAGAGCCTCGCTGCGGGGAAACGTTGGCACTGTTCCGAGTTTGTTCTAATCTGTCAAAATGACAGATTGCTTTCAGATTTTTCCGTCATTGATAAATAAAATATTCGGTTAACGCGACCACTGCTGTCCCAGCAACATCAGTACCAAGCGAGAGAGTTTTTTCCAGAGCAGGGGATATTGTAAATGCCCAAACATCCCAGCTTATAAATACCTGGAAATGTGGACATTCTCATATTCCTAAAAACCTGTCTGATGATGCTGAGTGAGTGACTAGTGAGTTTGAGTTGAGTTACTTGAAAAACTAAAGTGAAACTTGATTTATTTTATTGCAGGGTCTAATTATTAAATGTCCTTGTTTATTTGTGAGATGCAGTAAAGAAAATGCCTACTTTGTTTGGTAGTACTATAGGTACCAAAACACTGGTTTTCTTGTTCCAGTCTGTTACTGTCACTTTGTTTTGACACTTTAAAATAATGCTATCCTACTAAAATGCTGTACAAATCAGATTTATTATGTAATAAACATTTTCCGCGTACATTTTTTTTTAATTACTTTATTATTTAATATCGCGATAAATACCGTACCGTGGACTTGTTATCGCGATATTATCGTACCGTGAGTTTTTGGTATCGTTACATCCCTAGTTAACACAGCTCTACATCAAATCTGATGTTACGTAATGTGGTGTTACTATGGCAACGCATCCCTCGCCATAAAACAGCAGCAGACTTCAGATAATGATTAATGGTCCTGCCCTCAACAGCTCTACGTGAATTATGGGGTGTCATCATATGCCGTTTCCATGGAAATGCATCCCTCGCCATAAAACACAATGTCGCTGTAACTCCAATGGACACGGTCCGATCGTCCCCCAAACTTAGCTTGTATATCACCGGTCCGTGCCTCAACAGCTTTACGCCAAATCTGAGTTCTCACCATACGCTGTTGCCATGGAAACGCATCCCTCGCCATAAAACACGATGTCGCTGTAGCTCCAATGGACACGGTCCGGTCGTCCCACAATCTTCACCTGTATATCACCTCTCCATGCCTCAATAGCTCTACGTCAAATCTGACATCTCACCATATGCCGTTTCCATGGAAACGCATCCCTCGCCATAAAACACGATGTTGTCGTAACGCCTATGAAAAGTGTCAAAACAGCACCAGACTTCAGATAATTGTTAACGATCCAGCCCTCAACAGCTCTACGTCAATCATGGGGTGAGGACCACAGATGGAAATTAGCTATAATCTGGCATATTGCATCTCTTCTCTTTGCTGAGATTAATGTTTTTGTATGCATGGTCCTTCTATAAATAATTTTTTTTTTTAAATGACAATGTCGCTATAACTCCTATGAAAATGTTCACAAAGTGCTCCAACTTCACATGTGTGCTAACAGTCCAGCCGTGAAGACATCTATGGGACAGTTTTGAGGTTTCTCTAAGATAGCTGAGAAATGGGTGTCAAAACTAATCACCAAACATTTAGACAAAGGCTTCGCTCCACTCCACCCAATGCAGTTTGGTTTTCGTTCTCACCACTCCACTGAGACAGCTAACTGTGTCTTTGTGGAAAAGGTTAAATCTATGTTGGACACAAGTCCATATGTAGGTGCTGTCTTCCTTGATCTCAGGAAGGCTGTTGACACTGTTGACCACCAAGTGCTCCTTACAAAGCTGACTTATTTCAAAAAAATTCGGCAGATTCAATACAGTGGGTTAAGTCTTACTTATCGAACAGAAAACAGTGTGTTTTGGTCAACGGTACCATATCCCCCTATCTTGTGAACCCTGTTGGGGTTCCACAAGGTTCCATTCTTGGACCATTACTGTTTTCTCTGTACATTAATGACTTGCCTAATGTATGTCCAGATTTGAATGTACAAATGTATGCCAATGATGCGGTCATCTTTGTACACGGGAAAAATACTGAAATAATCACATCCTGTCTCTCAAATGCTTTGGACAAGGTTCAACACTGGCTGAACAACATTTGCTTACAGTTAAATGGAAAAAAAAACAGTATGCATGATGTTCAGCAAACGACCAGTCAAAATCGAAGGATCCAATGTGTTTTTAAACGGAGCAGAAATAGAACTAGTCCCCCACTTCAAGTATCTTGGAGTCATACTGGACTCGAACTTGACTTTGAAGAAACATATCAAGAAAGTCTCCAATACCGTTGAATTCAACTTGCAAAATGTTAAACGAATCAGACCTTTCTTAACTGTCAATGCTGCAAAGTCAGACCTCCACTGTATGATTCTATCCCACATTGAATACTGTTTTACAAACTGGTCGTTTGCTTGTGCCACAAACCTGAAACCCATAGAACAACTGTACAAGAGAGATATCAAGGTGTTTGACAGAAAGCCAAATTCATACCACCACTGTACCATCCTTGAAAAACACAATTTCTTGAGTTTTGACCATTTTAAGTCTTTTAAAAGTATGTGTTTTTTTTATAAATGTTTACATTGTTACCAGGGCAGGGAGACAACTGAGCGAGGTCTTCGTCCAGTTGCCTTCCAGGAAAGAGCTCCCGGAATATTACGAGCTGATCAGAAAACCTGTGGACTTCAAAAAGATCAAGGTTTGTCAATTACTGTGTCTCAGCAAAACATGAATGATGGATATGATGGTTATAATGAAAACAAGGGGGGTCATGGAGCAGAATGAAATATGATGCAGAATATACGACCTTGGTTTAAAGGTGGGGTAGGTAATTTTGGAGAAACCAGCTCGAGTGGGCTAGAATTTGAAAATACACAGCCGGAACGAATCTGCTACTTCCTTACAGAGCCCCTCCAATGACCAATGAGGGCACGAGATAAGTTTGTGCACAGATGGAGGCTGACAGGCAGGTAGGCCATCCAGTTATTTTAGCCGGGCCGGCTAAAATGATTGGTCGTGCTTTTTACAGTACCACGGCTTCCACAGATGACGTTTTTTTATGGATTTTTTGTCAAAGCACTTAAGATATTCATTGCTATCGGGATGTTAAGAGCATTCCATGGAATATAACAAAAAGTGTATCTCGAGCCGGTTTCTCAAACTTACCTACCCCACCTTTAATGAAAGGCGCCATATAAATTAAAGTTATTATTATTATTATTGTACAGTGAACAGCACAAACACAAATATTATTTTATAGTTATAATATTTCTTTAAACTGTATCTTTGTAAACCATCAGAGATGCACAGTATATTTTGCCAGCTGTGTAGTGTTAATTTCGTTGACTAAAACTATGACGAAATATGTTCGTCAACGAACTTTTTTCCATGACGAAAACGAGACGATGACGAGACGGCACCGACGGCAGTAAACAATAACTGCAACGAAATCATCATGCAATATCGTTGACGAAAAGTGACGAGACGAAAATGTAGTTTACTAAATAAAAACTATGCCAAAATCTCTCTTTACTTTCGTTGATGAAAAATGAGGAGACGAAATATTATCAAAGATAACGTTACATTTCTGATCAGTCAGTTTTTCTCCCAGCTGTTTCATTTCCGGTGCTGCGGTAGGGCAGCAGCTGTGTGTGTGCTGCGCGAGGCAGCACATTTGAATTACACCGGGCAGCGGCACACTGTGAACTGTCAGGAAGGCTCGGGTCTAACTCATGGTCTAACTAACCTTATTCAACATAAAATAAAATGGCAACAACAGGGCTTGGGAGCAGTGGTCGCACTCGTGTTAACCAAACACCCCCCCGTCAGCGCGAGTGAGTGATAAATTGTGTACTCGACGGGTAATAATGGATTATGACGGAAATGTTACAATCCTGTCCGTCAAAATGACAACGAAAAAGTCTAAAGCCACCACTGCTTGGGAGAAAGAAACAACGTGATATTTGGGCCCATTTTCGCTACAATGAGGCGGAGAAAAAAAGCGAATGCATTGTTTCATCAGAAGGGAAGCAATGTGGCCATAACACAGCTGGTAAAAACACCACAAACCTGAGCAGATACTCTCTGCAAAGCTTCTAAATCATTCAACCTGTGTTTTTCATCAAATAAGGACAAGATATAATCTTATTTATTTATATATACTAAAATGACAAATTATTGGTTTTGGCTAGACTAGTTTGACTGAAATGTTCTATATAATCTGATGACTAAAAAAGACTCAACAGTTTTCATTGACAAAAAGTAGACTAAAATAATTAGTTTTCTTTGACTAAAATAAGACTAAAATGCTCAGACTTTTAGTCGACTAAATCTTGACTAAAATAGTTACTGTTTTAGTCGACTAAAATAAGACTAAAAGGCTCAGACTTTTAGTCGACTAAAACTTGATTAAATAAAAACAGGATGAAGGTGACTAAATATGACTAAAACTAAAAAGGAAATTTAACAAAGGACTAAAACTAAATAAAAAAATAGCTGACGAAATTAACACTACAGCTGTGTAGACATACAGTATGTGGGTTGCAGAAACTGTATACAATTGGTTTATTTTTTAAGCAAAAATGTGAATGATTGAATGTTTTCCTTATCTTTGTAATCAAGGTAAATTTGTTTTGAGTCATAAAACAATTAATTTTAATTATTCAGCTTTCTGCTTTTAATGAAACTATGAAACCATGTTTTTATTAGTGTTTCTCACATCTTAGGGACAAACTGATTGCTCAAGAAAATAGTCAACAGACTAACAGTAACAACATCTTTCTTAGTTGCAGCGATAATTAACTTCAGTACAAGTAATAATTTAAATGTTTGAAATGTATTTGCATTGAGCATTGAATACCACAGGTTGTGAGAGCTCTCTGAAACTGAGAGGGATGAGTGTGAATCACGCTGATGTCTTCTCCGTCGACAGGATCGTGTGAGGAACCATAAATACAAAGGAGTGGGAGACCTAGAGAGGGATGTGATGCTGCTTTGTCACAACGCCCAAACCTTCAACCTGGAGGGATCCCAGGTCAGAACCCCAACCCACCCTCCATGTGTGAAACTGACATTTCCTTAAAGGGGCCCTATTTTGCTCATTTTCAGATTCATATTTGTATTTTGTGGCTCTACTGTGACTTGTTTACATGCTTTAATGTTCAAAAAGCTCTTTATTTTTCTCATACTGCCTGTGCTGCAGCACCTGTTTTCACCCTCTGTCTGAAACCAGAGCCCAGTCTGCTCTGATTGGTTGGCTGTTGTGAACCGCTTAAAGATCTCCTGCCCCTTAGCCTATCACGTATGTGTTTAAGCGATAACCAATAGAAGCGCATGTGTTATATAGTGATGTCATTATGTTATGAAATTAAACAATGGACTTCAATTTAGCTTTTTCAGGAAGGGGGGTAGTGTGTGGGAGAGAAACTCCCACTGAGAGAACTGCGATGACACACTACAGGATAGGGTAAACCCTAAAAAGCATAATACGGCCCCGTTAATTGAAGTCTTCTCATTAGGGCCCAAGCACCGGCAGCGAGTACTGGTTAATACCACAAAGAGCCCCCTCACATATAACATTCATCTAGACGTATAACATTTGGGAGGCATATGTATCACATGGAGATAAACAAAAAAAACACTCTTGGAGGTGTATTGTAAACCAATCAGAAAGTCAGTACATAAATGAATTAACATTTTTCTTTGTTAACTCTCAATTTTCATTCCCCAGTTCAGATGGTTTTTAATCTATAGTCTCTTTCAATTGTTGTGCGACTGGGTTTTTCCTTGATTTTACTTTGTCAGCCTGTACATATAGCAACCAGGGGAGATACAAGGTTTTTCTTTAAAGACATGGTCTATATTTCATTCCTATGTTTTGAATTGCCACTATCAATTAATAATTGACTGTTTGTAGTACCAACCCCCCCCCCCTAGTTGTATTCTTCTTCCCTTTTCCTCTTCATCAATTCTTAATCCTTCCTCTTTTATTATCATATCAGCCTTTGGTCCAGCAGGTTCTTCTCTCCCATATTCCCAGTAGAACATGTCATTCATGCTGTTTGAACATCTGTTTGCATTATTTCTTTTTTTGATTTCCCTCAGATATACGAGGACTCCATTGTCCTTCAATCTGTGTTCAAGAGTGCAAGACAGAAGATTGCCAAGGATGAAGAGAGTGAAGATGACAGCGATGAAGATGATGATGATGATGATGATGACGACGACGACGAGTCAGAGACTGAGGGTAAGAAACACAGTTTAGAGGCCATGCATACAAATACAAAGACACACACACGCACGCACGCACGCACACACACACACACCACACAGAGCTGTGGTTTGAGATACGCTTTTCCCCCATCCTTTACTACGGACTATTATTGTCTTCAGGCTGTAGCCCAGAAGAAAGATATCATGTAAAATACAGGAGAACAGAATTATAACACACAGGGAACACAAGAGTAAATTCTATAGCTCTTTAGGAGCTTTCTATCGATCTTTCACAGGAATTTCTTCAAAAGCACTGCAAGGAATGAGATGAAGACACTCAAAAAGCTCAGAGAAAAGCTAGTGAGTAGATGGTAGGAAAGGGTTTATTTTACTCCTGAAATAATTCACAAAACATAATATTGTAAAATAAATATGTGTTATAAAGTATTATTTATAAGATGGTACACCCTTTCTGTCCAACAAAAAGAACACAAACAATAATGATGATAATAATATACAACATTTAACCTCTAATTCCTAACCATAAGATATGAGCTGAAATGTATTTTAATTATCTGCTGAATGATATGTAGATATATAATTATGAATAGATTATTGTTTGGTCTACAAAAAGATGAGACTTCACAATTTTGCATAGATTAATCTCAAGTTTTACAAAAAATGTCTTTGACCAACAGTCCAGCACAAGAATATATTGTATTTACTTTGATAGAAAAAAATGACAACTCTCATTATCTTGATTTAACAAGCTGCTGTTTTTGCTTGAAAAATGATTTAAGATGAATTAACCTGTTAAGCCCCATTCCCCCACGGGCGGGGGAAAAAACGCATCACTGCAAGAAACAGCGTCTGAGGGCTTCTTAAGATTTAAAAACCTATGAATGTGTCATACCCAACTAACGGGAAGAAACTCAGTTACTTGATGATATGAACCATTTTTACTAAATGAGCCCTGAGCGAAAAAATGCTATCGCACTTAGCACAGAACTCACAGCTTAAATACCCTTATTACTTATCGTATCTGCAAAAACAAGATATTAGCAAGCTGAGATTCCACAGATTCCAGAAATATTAGTATCATCACTGAGCGATCCGAACTCGCGACAGGGGAAGCGAAAACAGACATCACAACACGTAGCTTCACGGAGGAAGCTTCTTACCTTAGCTGTTGTTCTGATACAAATTTGTGTTCAATGGCATCAAAACGATAAAAACGCTGCTGAAGGTTAATCCAATGGATAATCCAATGTGTCTGTGTCACTTTGAAATTATTCCTGATAATCCATCTTCATATTTACTAGTTTGAGCATAGGTTTCAGTTTTCAGAGCATAACATTGCTTTCGACTGCGTGCGCATAGCTCTCACTTGTCAATGGTAACGTGTGTATGTGCAACTTCCCCTTCGATTCTATTGGCTCTAACGGTTAAAAAGAGGTGTTAATCACCAAAATCAACCAATGGTTTCCAGAGAAACCGCAAATCCACCCAAATGTGTTTTTTTTGTGCTAAACCTCTCTAAAAAGGTCAAATGTCACTTGTTTTGCATCAATCTTGATACAGGGTACTTATTATATGTTATAGTTTGGATTCCTAAAGCTTTTAGTCCACTATCCCATCATTCAAGGGTGTTTTTCACTATAAGTGATTTTTTTTTTTTGGACGGACACTATAATTTAATTTGTTTTACTATGTTCAATTGGAATTTACTTTACAATAAAACAATTATATATTGATTCTGACTTTTTTATACATCCAACTCACAGGTTTATCATTGCTTTGAGAAAAAAGATAATTCATTTACCCCTTTTAAAAGTGAAGTTATGGTAATTTGTTCTGGGAATGTAATTTTCGAGCCTGAGGCCTGAAAAACAGGCTTGGGTTAAAAGATAGCTTGTTCTGTCAATTTTGTCAAGCTCTAATTGATGTAGATTGCAGCTTTTCAGTTCAAAATAAGATTCCAGAGACACAATTATATCAACTCGGATGAGCATGTTTTCTGAATAAGCAAACGATGACAAAGCCAAGACTTTGAATTATGCCTACTTCTTTCCTTCAGCTAAGTCTGTGCGGGTCAAGATCAAGCGGAAGAAGGAGGCGCGCAGCCATGGCAAAGGCAAGAAGAAGCAGAGCCGAGGGAAGGCCAAGCCCGTGGTCAGCGATGACGACAGCGACGAAGACCCGGATGACAATGTAGGTCGTTCCACCTCACTGCATTTGACTGGATTCTTTTTTTGCAGAAGAAAAAGCGAATTCCTTACCTCTGTTTCAAACTCAGAAGGTCTCTTTCATGTTAATATAATTATGACCGCAACCAGGGAAACAAAAATATATAGGAATAACACTGATGTCAATTTCAAAAAATGTAATCGTTTTAATATAATTCGTAACCACAGCTAAGAGGAAAAACATGGCACTCTGTTTTCATCTAGAACATGAACTGAGAAGCACCAAAAAGAGCTTCCTACCAAATGATCTACAAAATCTTTGTTAAAATAGGAGAATCCAACAGTTAAAAAGTATAGGTTTGAAGTACAGTAGGGGAATTCAAAGCTAGGTTTTTCCTATCAAAATCAACTCTTATTAAAGAAAAGGAACTCTCTTTTCTAGCTCTTTTTACCAAAAAATGTACTCTATTGGCTAGCGCTGCAACAGATTGTACGTTATAGGCAAGGCAAGTTTATTTATATAGCACCTTTCAACACAAGGCAATTCAAAGTGCTTTACAAAAAATCAAAGACATTAAGAAAGTGGCATTTAAAATCAGTCATTAAAAAGCAAAGAAAAAATACATGGATAAAAGTTACAGTGCAGTTAAAATATGAATAGTTTAATTAAAAGCAGCGACAAAAAGAAAAGTCTTTAGCCTGGATTTAAAAGTAGTAAAAGTTGCAGCGGACCTGCAGGTTTCTGGGAGTTTGTTCCAGATATTTGGAGCATAATAACTGAACACTGCTTTACCCTGTTACATCGGTTTTCGGGCATCAGTTGTTCCCTCAGGCATCAGTTGTTCCCTCGATTGCTTTTCATGTTAAAACCGATGCCTGATGTTCACATGGTTCGCAAAATGTGTTAAAGTAAATGTCAATGAAGCACAGAAATCTATTCACTGAAGGTAAAATCTGGAGGAAGCCAACCAAGCGGCTTAAAACCACAAGCAAGCGTCCCCATATCCTCAAAATCAGAGCGGAGTGGGAACTCAAGTGAATAACACAGCCCGGACCCACAACAAATTAAATGAACTTGAAAACTAGGGATGCTCCGATCGATCGGTCACCGATCGAGATCGGCCGATACTCACTCTCTACCGATCGATCGGTGCTCTCTAAAAATGCCGATCGCGAGAGCCGATCGCATGACGTAAAATACATGACACTTTTCTCTGTGGGCGGCAAAACAAGCTCGCCAAAATGGCTTCACCGGTCTGGCAGTAGTTTAAGGTGTCCGAAAAAGACAGTAAAATAGCGGTATGCAACGTGTGTGAAGCAGAAATCCTGAAAGCCCGCCGGACCGGTGAGCGGAGCGAAACACTCAAGAGTTAGACCTAACACACTTAGCTATTTTATCTACCTCTGGAACAAGCTATACATTTATAAATAAAGTTATAAATATATTTATTCTTCACTGTCGGGTCACTCATTACTGGATCAGTGAGCTGCATGAGATACTGACAGGCTGTCAGGAGAGAGAGAGAGGGGGAGAGAGAGGGGGAGAGAGAGGGAGAGAGGAAAAGAGAGCGCTTCCGCTCATTTCTCCCGTGTTATTATCCAAAGTTAATGTAAACTTGAATAATGTACATAATTTGAATGTAATAATTAAGTTGATTGTTGTTTGTGGAAGCTCCAGTGAATGAGCCCCATTAACTGAGTTTAAAACATCACTTTAAATGGAAGATTTAAAGTGACGTTTAAATCTTCCATTTAGGCCCCGCCCACTCGATCGGATCGGCAATCAGTATCGGCGGATACTGATTCCGGCGATCGGCCCCAAAATTGGCGATCGGTGCATCCCTATTGAAAACAACACACAATTATATTTGTCTAAGATGTAAAAAAAAGGCATAACATTTGGGCCATTAAATATTCCATTAAAAACACATCTCTCAGTCGTGACTGTAATTGACTGTATTATGCTCTTTCTTCTGTGGTTATCCTCCTCTTCAAACTGCTTAACAAACCACTAATGGGAAATTAGAGCCGTGGCAACCACCATTTGAGTACTCATTTTCAAGTAATTATAATAGATCATTGTTCCAAGCAAACATCACAAATGTAATATTTCTTATATTCTCTCTCCAAATGAAGTTTATTTCAATGGGCGCTTTGTAGGCACGAACTGCAGATTTAATAAAAGCAGTGAGAGAAAATGTGAAAGATGTTTTGTGTCATTTACTGTAGCTGCGGATGTCGATCAAAAGACTGACATGACACAGAGTCTGGAACGTTTTTTTAATTCAGGGGGACATTTTGTCCTTGTTCTTTGTCAAAGTTAGTGTTGAAAGGCACCAAAGAAAGTCTTAGTCAATTCAAATTCTGATATTCTCCAACCAAACCTAAGTCTCCATGTTTCTCTAGATTAATGAATTAGCCACAGTGCACTAACAACACTCTACCTTGAGCCCTTAATGAGTTATAAATAAACACAACAAAACTATTTGCAGCATGTTAAACTTATTTTTGACCTTTTTATTTTATACTTTTACAGTAACAGGCTCGAGGCCGATGTGCCTCTATTCACGCAACTACTGAAAAATAGAACAGTCTCTCAAGGTTTTTGCATGCAGTCATATTTTTGAAGAAATAAGCTCCCTAATAAGGCCCTATCATGCTTTTTGGGGTTTTCCATTTCCTGTAGTGTATAATATCGTTTGGGCATGTAAAGGGTCTGCAAAGGCTAAAATCCCAAAGTTCAAGCCAAAGTGAGTTTCTCTCACACACACTCCCTGTCTGAAACCTCAATTGGACTCCTTCTTCTTCCGTGACATAGTGACATCACTGTGTAACAACACTTGTGCTTCTATTGGCTAGTGCTCCAACACATTGTACGTAAGGGGCAGGACATCTCTGAGTGGTTTATCAATCACAGCAGAGCTATCCAGCTAACCAATCAGAGTATACTGGTCTCTGATTTCAGACAGAGGTAATTTAAGTAATTTAATTTCAGAAATTTCGAATGCCAATACTGATAAGTGTACACTGAAAGCCTATCAAGATGTGATGAGGCAGCGAGTGATTTTTATTACCCGCACCCAACCGACCCATATAAAAGCCTAACCCCAATACCTAACTTGCAAAAATATGGTTTGATCAATAACCCAAACCCCTATCTAGGACTTTTACATATATATTCTTCCAAATTGGTGTTTAATAGCAGTACAATTAAATAACCCTTTGTCAAAGACATAAATGTTCCTTTGAATCAATAAACCACGAGCAGCTATTGTCCGACCAATGACAATTTGGGTAACATCAGGTATCAACAAGCGGACCAGTGAGTGTCAGCGCTACAGTATGTTGTTGTAGTGCTATGCTTTGAACTTTGATACCAATTGATCAATATTCAGCAGAGGTTGGCAGCTGGAGGCAGCTTCTCGCCATGCCAGCAGTGATAGTTAACTGCAGGGTGTTTCAGGTAATGCAAACAGCCAAAATAAGACCTTCTCGAGAGCGTGGCCAGAAGCCATGTATCTCTTTGAATACAAATGTATTAGTGATTTCCTCAGCTGTCTATCACAGGGTGCGCACAAATGCTTGAAGTGCTTGCATATTGAAGTGGGAAATCAAGTACTAGAGTACCTACATAATAGCTCCCTTTTCAACAAAGGCCAAAAAAGTCCTTCAAATTCTGAAATATAAATATTTTGACTAAAGTTTTGTCCATCAAGTCATTATAATTAAATCCTCGGAATCAGAAACTGCTCAGCCTTTTAACTTATGTTTCTTCTTAACACTTTTGGTCTACTGCTGTTGATGCCCCTGTTAATGAACACTTAATATTCCAGGGAATTGTAAGGGCACGGTCACATTCGCCAACCGAGGCCATATTCTCCTAGAAAGTTCATCAAAGTTGACAGCTTGAGAAGCGTGGCTGTGGGGTTTTGGAGCCCTCAGCGCTGTCTGTTTGATTATATGTATCTGTCCGTTCAGTTGTTTGTGACTGACCTATCTGCCGACTACAGGATCCCCACGGGTCCTTTCAATCCTTGAACGTAAAAAGAAATGGGCAATTGAAATGTTTCATGTTAGGTCCTTACATTTGAAGAATTGGGCCTGGAAAGCCTTTGAATTACAGTTTTAAGGAGGTGTGGGAGCCCTATTAATATATTTAAAGTATTTTATTGACAGCTCAGTTTAAAAAATGTGACTAGTTTTGAGAGGGACTGACATTGATCCCATAATTTTACACATTTAATTTAAAAAAAACACTTCAAAATAAAGTTTGCACTCCTTGAAAATGAAAAAAGGAGCTTGAAAATGTAGTTTATACTTGACATTATTTGTCAAATAAGATAAGAAACCTTTATTGTCACTGTATAAGTGAACCAAAATGTCTTTTGGAGCAAGGATTAAAGGTGGGGTAGGTAAGTTTCAGAAACCGGCTGGAGTGCACTAAAATGTGAAAGTACACAGCCAAAAAGAATCCGCCCCTTCCTTCAGACTTCCTTACAGAGCACCTCCTCCAACACACCATGAACGCGCACATGACGTCAGCAGACTGGTGAAAGTGGCTGCCTGTTGCTGGCGAGTCATTGAAGTACTGCTACAATGCACGCCCAATGACGGCACGCCCAATGAGGGCACGAGATACATTTTGTGCGTGCACGAGATGGAAGGCTGACAGACAGGGCCACAGATGACATTTTTTTATGGATTTTTTGTCAAAGCACTTCAGATATTCATTGCTATCGGGATGTTAAGAGCATTCCATGGAATATAACACAAAGTGTATCTCGAGCCGGTTTCTCAAACTTACCTACCCTACCTTTAAGGATTAAAACTAAATAAGTATACAAAAACAACATTTGAAACAGATCCATATAAAGACCTACTGTCTTGTGTGCTGCTCGTTCAAAGTAGATCTTTCTGGCAACTTAACCACAGATTTAAAACCTGCACTTTCCTCCATTTCCAAAGGCTTCCTCATCCTCCTCTTCATCTGCTTCTACAAACTAGATGGGAGAGAAGAATAAGAGCTTCACCTTCAGACTTCTTTTCTCTGGAGATCTTTATCTCTTATTTTGTTTATATAATCCTGTTGACCTACCCCTCTCAAGCACAATGCAGCTGATCATATACTGTGTCCTCCCCCCTGCTCTTCCTCCTCTTCCTCAGCCTTTGAATCTACCTCTCTTCTAATACCTTTTTTCTTTCTCTCGTGTGCAGGACCAGTCAGACAAGAGTGACGATGACTGAGGACAAGAGGATATTAATTATGGCACTTATAAACACAGAGGACATATCTTCAGTCGTCATTGTTCAGGTTCATATTCTGTACTTTTTTTCTTTTTTGTTTACTTCATTTGTCCCCTTTGTAAGTTTGTAGTGTGTTTTGTCGCACCTTCTCCTACCGGCTTTGAAATGTATTACTTGTATTCGATAAGCTACAGCAATACCAATCTGCTTATATTCCTGTTTTTAAGACAATTTTTTAGTATATTTTTTAACTCTGCTTCAAAAGCCGATTTAAATTCTGTATGAAAAAAAGGAAGAAAAAAAAAAAGATTTGGTCTCGCTATATTCTTTTCTTGATAGGTACTTGCTTGCTTGCACTTTTAGAACATGAAATATTGAAATGGAAATAACAGATCGAAATTAGAAAAAGTGTGTAATTTGGATATCCACCGGTGGTAAAAACAATTGCAATTAATCAAGTTTTTTAACTTTGGAATAATTGTTTCACCTTGTGCAGTGCCAAAATGTCAGAGAAATTGGTAGTTCGTTGAATCCCTCCCCATAACCAGCGATGGATCAATCATAGCTTAGCAACCGGACTTTTATGTCAAGCTTTATATTTCTCCGCCTTTGAAGCTCGGTACGAGAGACACTACAGTTAGTCTAAAGTGCGGTGTCTTTCCAAAACCAGAAATAAAATAGAAGAAACAGCATGTTATCTGCTGTGATGTCAGCGGCAAATGTTTGATTGTCCAGCTTAGAAATACTACACAAATAAAATAATATTACAATTAGTTTATTCTTTATTATTAATAAAAGAACACATACTGTAGTTTACTTTCAAGACCAGGAAGAGCTTAACTTCTAATTATTCAGGCTTAAGCTGCTGTCATTAGCATGTCTGGCTAACAAGCTTACAGTTTGCATTATTGTGTGGGGTTATTAGATGCATTAATTAAAGCCCAGTTTAGGACTGAATCATCCGCTGTGTAGAATGTTCCTCTGAGTAGAAGCTGCTCAACATACTGTTTGAAAAATATGATATTATAATAGAATTACACATTGAATCCTCGATTTGTCCTTAATATACTTTTAGCCTGGGTCATTTTTTAAATTGATTTATAACTTTTAGTCTTTAGGCATGATGTCGCATTTGTACTTGCACATTTTGAGAATGTAAACTATTTTCTACGTTTTACTTGAAATATCCCTATATTTGAAACAAGTTAGCTGAAAGAAATTTGAAATTTAGCCAAAAAAAAGTGTATTTTATAAACCACCTAAGGTGGCTATTTTTCTTAGCTAGCTGCCAACATGTGTTAGCATCAGCTGCCATTTCATATTGATTGATTGATTGATTGATTGATTGATGGTAGCTAGCTTAAAATGAGAAGCTGCTTTTTGCCTGAAATCAAAATAGCACAACATTTCGAAAGTAAGTCGACCTGCGAAAAAGGCGCAAAATGTAAAGCTTGACAGTCATAGCGACATGAACTACGAGAGACGGGGCTTAACGAACACTCAACAAGGATATTTTTAGTGTAAACTGTTTCCTGACGCTATATTAACGTATATCTTACAGCCAGCACAGCTATATGTCAGTTGTTGCTCGTTGACCTACATATAATCTTGAAGTGACCATAAATGCTGAATGCTCTTTTTTTAAAATTGCTTTTATTAAGATAAATGTAACTTTACATTTTGTAGGCGACACATTGTTTAGAAAATAAGTTGTTTCATGTATCCTTTCCTCTTATGATTTGAAGTTGTGGTGTTCAAGAGCAGAAGCTTTGAAATAGTTGTGAACGTTTCTTTCAGTCAGAAAGGAGCTAGTGGGTTATTTTCAATGAGATACTAGTTGTTAAGGCTGCAGATTGATGGGGAGACATCTTGTCTTGTTGTATGAAACCGGTATTTATCGTAGCTAAATATAGCTTTATAAAGTGTCTAAAAACATTTTGCTCCTGTAAAGAACCGAGATTTAGCTGGATTCTTACAGACTATCAAAGCTGGTTAACAAAGGAAAATATTACAAGGAAAACAGTATTATTGGATTGAAACATTTTATTTGGATGCCATTGAATATAACAACAACAATGTATTGATTTCTTTTTGAATAAGGTCATTTGTGTTCCTGTGTTAGTTAGAGCCCTCATTTAGTCCAGTTTATATGTTGTTTGTAGCATGATCTCTTTTGGCAATATACTGTATTCACGCAGATATATTTTTTTGTTTTGTTTGTGTAACATGTGCTTGCCGACTCTTCATAAGTGTGACTTCATCTTTGCTTTCTTTGCACAGTGTCTTTGTGGTTGTATGTCATAACCCAGGGCAAATAAAATCTCATCGATTTTCAGCACAAAATACCTGTTCTTGTTTATTTTTTCATTCTTACCGGGAACCATTTCTACTTCTTTGTTTAACATTTAGTCTGGAAACCCTTCATTTCTTTTTTTTCTCAGTGTGGTTTAGTAAACAGATGAGGGCCTACAGGTATCAGCAGTTGAGTTTTAAGTTGTAATTCCCTTTCTGAACAGATACATGTACATAGGTAACTAGGCTTTACATGATAAGATGATAACAATTAGAAACACACGTATTTAGGAATGACACTTACTAAACACTGTTAATATAATCAAAATAAATCTATAAAGAACCATTATAAACAGCATTGGTTGACCAACGTTTTTTAAAGAGTAGAAATTATAATGTAAAAATAAAGAGAGGGAGGAAAAAAACATTGAAAATAAATTAAAAGGTAACAAAAGTGATGTTTAGTGTCTGAATAAAATGTATTTAGATTTGTAAGTGTTTGGTTATAAAAACGGTCACACTACTGCTGCATCATAATGGAGTTGAGAAACAGTATGTCGAGAAAAGGAAAAGTCTTCATGACCTGACAGACAATATACATACATATACACTCAAACAAGTTACTTAAAATAATACAATAATATTCGTATATTTACAATTATGACAGTCTTAAATAGCCATGTGTCAATAATAATAATAATAATATATATATATAAATTGTACCTTTTATTTTTTACCCTTTTGATTTTAGGCTTTTTTACCTTGTGCTGCCACACCCATTTCTTTAATTGTGGTTGTTTCCTATTGGTCACGGTCATTGGTCAGTCAGATTCACCTGTTTTAATTGGTTGTAGGTGAGGCATGGCAACAAAGATGGCGGGGACACGCAAAACACCGGGAAGAAAAATACGGCTATCAGCAGCTTGTTGGAAATTGTCCCAGTAGCGGTATGCTAGTAGACTATCACGGACTTGTTCTTACTTTGTGTCAGTTGTGTTGGCTGGACATTAGTGCTGCACGTGTCTGTTAAAAGCTTAACCCTTACATGTATGTTGTGTTCGGGTCTCCCGTGACCCGTTTCAAGTTAAAATTATATAACAACTACACTCTAGTTTTTTTGTAACGGAACAAGGCTTCATGATATCCTCCACAACAGCAATATAAACAATACAAAACTGATTTTGACAATTTTTGCCAAGTCTGAAGGTCTCTAAAAAAAAGTGTGTATAATTTGGTGTATCATTTGGTGTTCGGGAAGACCCAGCAGAATTGTTGTGGGTGACTCGGGGACAATTTTGGCCCAATCAAGATTCATCTTTGACTTTAGACACACCACCCCCACCCCCCTTCATCCACTGTAACAATAATGTTTGTGGGGAGAATGTATTCTAATAGTCTATTATAGTCAGAACGTAATGATCCACTGTCTTCACTAAATATAATGAGTGAGTTGAATCACATGTTTTACTTAAATATGTGGTGTAATGTTTTTTGGGGCCATAAATAAAATTACAACAGGATTGTACGGTTATGAATGCATAATAAGTTAGTTATGATGTAGTTAAAACAATATTGGATGATAGTCATTCTTTGTGAGTGTTTTGTACTGAGATAAATCATGGGTCGAAATTGACCCGCGAACACCATGAACGGTAACAGCTTTTGAAGGGTTAAATAAGGTTCCTTATGACCAAGCTATGATGCTAATGAAGTATTTAGCTAGTATGGTGTCCCTCTTAAAGTTAGCTAGTTCGACAATTTACTAGATGAGTAAACCACGGACGAGTGTCAGCTTGGACCCAGCCTGACAGTCAGACAAAGCAGCAGGGACCGGAAAAAATGCCGGTCCTCTGAAGAGGTGTTGGACTGCTCAGGTGGAGAGACATTTGGCCTCATCTCCGGAGACCATTTGAACTTCTGAACCGGCAACCGGATAACACTCCAGATCGTCTATTACTGTAAGTTCAGTTGTAATTAATTGTTTTATCTTTCAGCAATGTATTTTATTGTGATGAAAATGCAGTAGGCCTACTTACTTTTGCCTCAAATACTGAGGTCATGTTCTTTTTCAACTTTACTGAACAATCAGAAAAAGGTGTTCACATCAGTGAGGGCATTATGAACAGACTACAGAAACATAAAATAAAGGGGGAGAAAAAACACACATGGTCAATGAGGAATTACGTGTGTGTAGAAATTGGTAAAATTGTTGGACTTTTTTACTTTTGCAACAATCAATTGATTATTTGAATCTAGATCCATGTCAAAACCCCAATACATACTGCAGACATTTGAGGATGCGACATTTGTGGATGAAATATGTTCTAAAATAATCAAATTACTAAGTATTGTTTTGTTTCCCAAATAATGGCTAAATGTTATATTGTCCTATGTTTTTCTCATTGTAAGTTAACCAATACTGGAAATCATCCCAAAATGTTTGAACTATAGTGCAGGAAAAGAAAAGATGTGCTGGTGTTTCAATATCTGAGTTACAACAGGAGCATACATAAGTCTAAATGGAATTTCTTGTGTAGGAACTTGAACTTTAAGATAGAATTGAAATGGTGTGCTGTTCTATAGGCTTTGTTGCATTCAAAGCATTATAAAATACTATTCATTGTTACAAACAAACACAACCCTGTACAAAGGAGAGTTTCGATGATTTACAGAATAATGTATTTCTTGAGCTATTTTGATTTCTATCTATACAGAAGTATTTTCATACAAAAATGTTATAGTTCCAAATTGAAATACAATGAATGGAATATTTTGATTTGGTTTCAATATTGTTAAGGAAAAAAAAGAAATTTGAATGTGCCACATTTGTTATTGTGAAGGGTATTTCTCACCATTTTTATTTTGAGCACACGTGTTTTTCTAAAATAGATTTCAATGTATATCTATTGACACAACTGTCTACACAATATTCAGAAGATATATTAAAGGGGGTATATCTTAAGTTGTGAAAAAAACAACAAACATTATCTGTTCGCCTACGTTTGCTCTCTGGTGTAGTGATCTTTACAGCCCAGGTGCCAGCACAGCTAGAAGGTTTATTTACTAGTATTTTTACATAACCTGGGGCGAGCAACAGTGTTGACTTCTATTTCGTATATGGCTTCGCCCTCTAAGGCTATCGCTATTGGGTTTACCCTTCTGCGCCCCCACGCAGTACTGAAACACTTGTAGTCCACGCCCACCCGCTAGGTGGGCCCCACCCTCGGGCCACCTTCCGGTATAAATAGGGAGGTTGCCCGGTGATCTGCTCCCTCTTTTCTTCAGCAACCAGCAGTTTACTGAAGCACGAGAAAAGCAACATCATGAGCAATAAAGAGTGTGTCCGTATGTGCCCTTCGTGCAATTCGGGCTACATTATGAGCTACGATTTGCATCCGATATGCGCAGCCTGTCTGGGGCCAGAGCACATGGACGCGGCTCTCAGCCAGCAGGTCGCATGTCCTCACTGTGTGCGTCTTACTTCATCCGACAGGAAGCGAAGGGCGGACGCTCTAGCTGCTGCGGCGGAGGAAGACGTCTGGGGTGGGCAGGAGCCCATCCAGGACAGTCTGTTTATGGAGGCGAGTGGGGGGCAGGAGTCGGACGACTCCTTCCCCGCCTCCCTCCAGGGCTCACCATGCGGCTCTCCCCTTCCCCCTCTTCCCCGGACGGGGGAGACGGGGTCGGAGCGAGAGTCAGAGGTGGCGGTGGAGCACGTGGTCCCCTTCTCCGTGGCCACGGCGCTACCGGCATTGGGAGGCATCATGCTGGAGCTGCCGGAAATAATCGGCAAGGCAGCAGCATGTAGAGGTCTCCCCGTTCCACGAGTACTGGAGAGGGTGGCTCTGGACGACATGGCGGGCGTGTTTTCCCGGGTGCAGACGGGCAGGAGTAATCCGATCTGTCCGCACTTCCCCGCCATTAGGCGTTATCAGGAAGGTGCAGCGGCGAACCCGAGGAGCTTGAGGGCTCCGGTGGCCACCTTTGTCCCCTTCACCAAGGTGGAGGGTTTCACAGATGAGGTTTTCCCAACCACCCCTGCTCTGGAACCGAGCTTAACGGCATTTTTCGGGGTGAGACAGGCCAACTTGGTCGCCGGACGGCGCCCTATGTTGACCGACCCCAAGGGCCAGTATGTCGCCCACCAGGCTGACCGGGCGCACCAGTGTGCGTTCCAGGCGTCGGCAGCGGCAAACAATATCGCTTTGCTGACCAACTCGGTGGTGACGTTGGTCGAGCGATCCACCACCGTGGCTCCAGAGGAGGCGGAGGAGATCGCTAAGGCGGCCAGCACGGCGCTCACGCTGTGCGCAGCCGTGGCGGTGTCCCAGGCGAGGATTACGGCCTGGATGACACAGATCCAGCGTCACCTCTGGTTACAGCAGGCAGCGGTCACAGAGCCAGCCAGGAAGGTCTTACTGGACGCTCCGATCAGCTCGGACGGGCTGTTCGGGCCCCAGTTCCTGGCCATGGTTGATTCCATGAAGGCGGCTTCGGAGCAGGCGGAGGACATCCGCCAGCACGTCGGCTGGCTCCAGCCAGCGGTGAAGCAGCAGTGAAACCAGCGGCAGCAGCAGCAGCCAACCCGGCCACAGCGGCAGACGGACAGACACCAGCAGCAACAGCAGCCGAGGCGTCCGTCAGCGGCGGCCGGGGCACCGACCCGCACCTCCAGGGCACCGTCCCGCACCTACGGGCCCCCACCAGAGGGGGGTAAGAAGGGAGTGAGGTACTCCCGTTCGGCGTCTACTCCACGAGAGCCGCCGAAAAAACAAAGCCGGCCTTGACGGTTTGGGGGGGAGTGTGATCGAAATAAAAGTCGTTTATTTCCTAACATGTGGTCTGAGTCATCAGTTACAAATGTGTGTCACATATCCCCCACCCTGGGAGCTGCCTATGACCTGTCGGTTAATAGCCAGCCGGGTTCGGTACAAAAGCCTGCGCTATTTAATCTATCGATTAATAAGCTGCGGAGCACAATAATTACACCAACTGCCTCCAATCTGATGATTAGTAGGCGGCATGGTTCGCGACAGGCTTCTGATGGTTAT